GCTGCTTGGGTTCAAATCCTGAGACCAAGAATAGCTGGGTGACCTTGGTCAAGTTACTTTCTCTGTGTCTCAGTTTCCTCATCTACAAAAAAGATAACAACAGCACTTACTCTTGAGGTTGTTGTGGGGATTCAATGAAATATTGCCAACAGCAGATTTTGTGCCTGATGCCAATAAAGGTTAGTTTCTTTGTTAACCGGGATACAAGTCTCGGTATCTTTTGGCCCCATCCTGTGCCTGTGCTTAGAACCTAATTTCCTAATCTTCTTTCACACATTGGGTTTGGCTAATTCATCCACTGCTGAGTAATTTATTATCACAGACGGTGTTCTGGAGACAGAACAAAGGTTAAGATGCTATGGGCTGAATGCATGGGGGAGAGACACATTTTTAGTTTGAGGAAACAGGATATATAGAAAAATTGTACACATGCCAAAGCCGGGACTGGATGAAATTAAACCTCTTGACTTAACTCCCAATTAAAACATTACAGGAGCAGCACAGGCTACAGCCTGCAACCAAGCTTCTATGAGACCTTGTGTTGGAAAATGACTTCAGGGCCCCCTTTAAAAATAAGAGCATGGTTTGGTGGCCATGTCCACAGGGAAATAGCTTCTGTATGTTTTGGAAGGTCTCCTCTCTCCCCCTTACTTAAAGCACCTAGGAGATTTGACAATTAAAACCTACTAAGAGATGAGAAGGAAGAAGATAATTGGTCTCCCACCTAGTCCCACCCCCCTTGGGACCCAGCAGGGGGACAAAATGGACCTCAGAACACTGCAAAATATGCAGCGTCATAACACAGACTGTCTTCAAGCGTGTGCCTTCTGCTGTGAGAAAACTGGCACTGAACAAAACTTCTGTATCCTGTAAGTGATGTGTGCACAGCACCTGTCAGCTTGCAAATCATTTCTGAGCTCTAGATCTCAAACATCCTGTGTGCCCAACTGGGTAAGAGTGTTGAGGCACAGAGGGGTGAGGTGATGTTCTCGAGGTAGCTGAGGGGGTGTGGTTGGGACCAAGTCCTAGGCTCTTTGGAGGAAGCCCTGGGCTCTCTCTCATCAGGCTAGAGCACCCTGTCTGCCTCTTTCTTCCAGAATGAACCCAGGTCCATGGGCTGGGATCCGGGTGAAGATGAACAGCCCGGCAAAGAACATAAGGGCTGTGGCCTCAATTTTTGTATTAGGTAGCTGAAGGCCACTCTAGATGACCCAAACGTTTGGAAAGCATCAAAGGAAGAATTTGAAGAAACAGGATATGTGAAAAATCACTGGTGTCCTCAGAGGGCATTCCAGTCCATCCAAGATTAAGCTTTCCCTGCTTCTCTGACCTTGAAGTGTGTTCTGACCTTGAAGTGAGGCTGGGGGGGAATCAAGGAGACTCCCTGGCTTTTTCTTAGTAATTTCAACGGCTTGGGAGGTAATTAAAATCAGCTGGATGCCCCTCTAGTGAGAACTTCTCATAAAGATGGTGGCATAAACTTGCCTAATGAGCATGGAGATGACAGCAAAGGACCAGGGAAGGCATTACAAAGAGTAAATTCAACTCTCAAGGTCTTCTGTTTATGGAAACAACTAAAGTTACTTTCTTTCTAGCTGCCCAAGATCAGAACCCTTTGAATGGCATCATTGCCAGTGGTCAACTGGGCAAGGAAACTAAAATTCATGGTTTCCAGTCCGTCTTTGGCTTCTCCTTCTCCCCCTCTTTCTTTCATAGAAGTCCTCTTCTAGCCATTTTTAGATGGTCCCCCTCTTTACAAGTAAGTAGAGTGCAAATAATGAGCTCAATGTCGTTGAGTTATTCTTTGACTCAAGGCTCCAGCACTTGCTAGCTGGCAAAGGCCCTCTGGGGTGTCACTTAACCTCTTGCACCTCGTTTTTTTCCTCTGTAAAATGGAGATAAGTAGCTCCCACCTCTGGGATTATTTCAAGCATTAAACCAGATAACCCATGAAAAGAGTATCATCACACATCACCGACATCCAGTAGGGCTGTTGCTAAAATCTTTTCTATCAGTTTCCTATTGTAAGTGTCATCAAAAATCAATCTCTGTGCTTCAGAGTGCAAACATAACTCGAAGACAGAGTTTGGGGTAAAGAGGAACATTAGCTTTATTGCTTTGCAGAGCAAAAGAGGCTGCAAAACTGCAAGCCCGCCCAAAGTTGGGGGCTGGGGTGTTTTAGAGGGACATCAGGATCTAGCTGGTTTTGCCAGGACTGTGTATGCACTGCCAGCTCAGTTGTCAGGGTGGTACAGGGTTCCTGAAAGAAAAGGCTAAGAAGGGAGGAGGGGAGGTTTGAGGAAGAGAGGAAAAGGGTTACTTAGTTTGAAATCGAGCCTCGCTGGGCCATTAGTACAGCCATTTTGATTTTTCAACTTTGTGCTTTTATTATTTTTTTTAAAAGTTTCTTTATTGTATATATAGAGAGAGTGAGAGAGACAGAGTGTAAGTGGGGGAGGGTCAGAGAAGGAGGGAGACACAGAATCCGAAGCAGGCTCCAGGCTCCAAGCTGTCAGCACAGAGCCTGCTGTGGGGCTCAAACTCATGAACCACAAGATAATGACCTGAGTCGAAGTCAGACGCTTAACCGACTGAGCCACCCAGGCAACCCTCAACTTTGTGCTTTTAAGCCATTTCATAACGAATTGTTGGGCTTAAAACAATACAAATTCTCCTATGGTTCTGGAGGTCAGAAGTCTGAAATAAGCCTTACAAGGTGTGATATTGTGATTTGTAATAAATATATATTTGGTCTTCATCCCAGTTCCTGGCACTGAGCTCCTAAAACGCTTGGAATTTCCTAAGGGAAGACAACAGTAAAGGTGTCCTTTGTTCTGTTGGTGAGTGACTTTTGGAAAGCACCTAAGGGTAGGAGCTGGTTGCTGGAAGCAGAACCTTTCAGTCTCACCCTCTGACCTCCAGGGAGGGGATAGGAACTGGAGATTGACTTTAATCACTAGTGGCCAACGATTCAATCATGCCTATGTAATGAAGCTTCCATAAAATCCTCTAAAAAAGACAGGATTCGGAGAGCTTCTAGATTGGTGAACATGAAGAGATTTGTGGAGATTAATAAAAATATTAATGGTTGTGGGGTACCTGGGTGACTCAGTTGAGGGTCCGACCCTTGGTTTTGGCTCAGGTCATGATTTCATGGTTCCATTTGAACCGATCACTCAGAGTGAGCATGGGATCTCCATCTCCCTTCCCACATAACTTGGCCTTATGCATCTCCTCCCCGCCCCCCACCCCCCCACCCCCCCACCCCACCTCCCACCGGCTGTTCTGGAGTTATACCCTTTTATGATATAAACTGGTAATCTGATAAGTAACATGTTCTCTGAGCCTGTAAGCTGCTCTAGTAAATTGATCAAACCCAAGGAAGGGGTGATTGGAACCTCCAATTTAGAAGCATAGGTGATAGACTGGACTTGGAATTGGCGTCTGAAGTGGGGGCAGTCTTACAGGATGCAGCCCTTATCTTGTGGAATATGAGGCTATCTCCAGTTACATAAGGTCAGAGTGAGTTGAACTGTAGGCCATGCAGAATCACTATAAGGCTAAAGTCTAGTGTCAGTGGTGCTGCATTCCTTCTAGAGGCTCTAGTGGAGGATTTGTCTTTTCCTTCTAAAGGCTGCCTGCATTCCTTGCCACATGGTCTTTGATCCTTCTGCCTCCCTTATAAGGACATTTTGATTACGTTGGGTCCACCCAGATAATCTCCCCATATCAAGATCTTTAATTTAATCACATCTGCAAATTCCCTTTTGCCATATAAGGAAACATATGAACAGTTCCTGCAGATTAAAAGATGGACATCTTTGGCAGGGGAGGTCATTAGTCTATTGTTATCATTAATATGTTTTTTTAAGTTTATTTATTTATTTTTGAGAGAGAGTGAGCAAGGGAGACAGACAAGCAGGTTCTGTGCTGTCAACAGCAGAGCCCAATGCAGGGTTCAAACGGAATCGTGAAATCATGACCTAAGCCAAAACCAAGAGTCAGATGTTCAACTGACTGAGCCACCCAGGCACTCCACAATCATTAATATTTTTATCAAACTTAGCTCATTTAACTTATATAATCCTCATTAAATCCCATGAAGTACATACTATTTTCTTCCCATTTGAAAACTGACACAGAAGAAGTTAAGTAACTTTTCCAAAGTTCCAAAGTTACATAGCCAGTAAGTGTGATTGGAAGCCAGGAAACTGGCCTCTGGAGTTCATGTTCTTACTAGCAGAAATATGTGTACAGCATTTTTTTTTTTTTTTTTTTTTTTTTTTTTTTTTTTTTTTTTTGGTATTTTAGTGAGAGAGCACAGGAACAGGGGAGAGGGGTATGGAGAAGGGAGTGGGGAGAGAGAATCTTAAACATGCTTGGCTTGGAGTCCATCGTGGGGCTGGATCCCACGACCCTGAGATCATGATCTGAGGTGAAATTAAGAGTCGGACGCTAAACCTACTGAGCCATCCAGGTGACCCAAAACAGCTGAAATATGTAAAGTGGTATATAATAAGCACTGTATTAATGTTAGCTATTATTGTCATTTCTACCAAGATTAATATAATAATCCGTATCACATATGGCTTTTGTGAGAAATAAGTTAAAGTGTAAGAAGCACCAAACAGTGCCAGTCGTACAGCAGGTCTTCATTTAGATCTTTCCAGTCCTTACCCAGCCCACCTTTCTTTTCAAAAGGAAGAACATTTGTTCTCACTGTGCCCTCCCCAAGATGGCGCCATCCCAGCACCCAATCCGCCCCATTCAAGATGGCGTCCATCATTCTGAAAGCCACATTCCGTCCTTCTCAAGATGGCGCCAACACTAGCCCTTGTTACCTTCCTCTCTCTTCAAGATGGCCTTAGCTTAACAGTGGGCTTCTTTGACCCTCTCAAAATGGTGGCAGGCACACCATGCACAACATCTGACCCTTCCAAGATGGCGCCGGCGTCGCAAACTTTTCCTCTGTATTATAACAGCACTTCCGGTTGCGCCGGATGCAGGCGTTAGAGGCCTGCGGGAGGGCGTCGGTGCTTGTCCGCTTTGCGCTGGGAGCCTCTGGCGCCAGAATGGACCGGAGGAAAAAGCCTTTGGACGTTACTGCCTCTTCGGTGAGTGCGGGTACGGTGATGCTCCGGGGCTCCGAGTTCTCCTCACCTCCAGTAGACAAGAATCTCGACCTTGTGTGGCTTTCCCGCAAACAGGAACCCGAACCTGGCTTGTTTCAGTTGGGGACCCGGCCCAACTTTCTTACTGGGTTCTCCCCTCGGACGTACACCCGGACCGGGATTCCCTCCTTCGATACGGACCTGAACCTGATATCTTTTCCCCTTTAAGAACGTCCTTGCCCTTCTGCGACAACCGGGCCAGGCCTCGTTGCCAGTCGTGTCTCCCTCCGTGGTCGGAGAGGAACCCCGGCCAGTGCTTGCTGTGCAGACACGTTCCCCTTCCTCCTTTCTTTTCCAGTCCAGAGACCAGCAAGGTCCTCCCAGAACATGAGAGAATGTGACTTATTCCCCTGGATCCGAGAGCGCCCAGCGTCCCCTGACCAGGAACTAAACAGTTGTTAATGCACCCGTAGGTTGCGGTGCTTGCGAGTTGTAAGCTCTAACAGGACGTAAGCAGTTTTGTTAAACTAGCTACTTCTAAGAAGAAAACCTGCTCTGACGTTTCTGTGCACTATCTCGTTGAATTCACCCAGCTGCCTTAGAAAGTAGGTGCTATTAATATCCCGGTTTTATAGCTGATAACTTTGAGGCCCATTTAAGGCAAAGTGGCTTTCCCCAGTTTACATACAGAATTCTTAGTGATAGAACTGGCTCACTCAATCTGGTTGTCTCCAAAGCTGTTGCCTTTTCTGTTACATCAGAGCAAATTGCCTAATATTTGATTTAATCTTCAATTTACTGCAGAGTATTAGGATGCAAAGGAAGTGCAAAGGAAAACTTCTATGTGTGCCAATATTTGAGTCTTTTTTCCTTGTCTGATATTGAACTTTAGTGCTAGTTAGTATGTTTGAGCAAAAAGAGCAAAAACAGTATAAATAATAAAGTTATTCTATCCTGACAGGTTAAAATTAGCAGTAACCATAATAGGAATGTTCTCTGGGATGGACAGTTTTCAGAGCATCTTCTTTTTAAAATTCAAAAGTAGTCACAGAATAGGAAAATGTACGGCTAGAAAATGGAGGTGGTTAAGAAGGCTTAGAAGAAGAGGCTGTAAAGTTTTTGTGTTTAAAAGCTTAGATTATTAGGTTCTGGGATGACACTTCCTTTAGCATTAAATCCCTGCCAAGGCTGCTTTTAAACTGATGTCTTCCAAAATAGAAATCCTTGAACTCATTTTGATTCCCCTTAAAAGTCAATCTGTGATGCTTTATAAGTATCCTGTTGATAAATGCCCACGTGGAAGCACCTGGGTGGCTCATTCGGTTAAGCTTCTGACTCTTGATTTTCAGTTTAGGTCATGATCTCACAGTCCTGAGATTGAGCCCCGCGTGGGGCTCTGCCCCAAGTATGGAGCCTGCTTGGGATTCTCTCTGTCCCCCTCTCTCTCTCTGCTCCCCCTTGCTCTCATGCACACGTGCATGCTTTCTCTAAGCATTAAAAAAAATGCCCATGTGTATAGGGAGCTGTATCTGGACCTTTAAAATGGAAACTGTCGTTATATCTTTCTTTGCAAAGTAGACACTAGTGATTGGTACAGTGAGAGATAGGCATGGATATTCACCCAACTGCCCTGTTCCCTTTGCCCTGGCCTTTCCTGTTCTTGAACCCTGTGATTGAGCTAAACTTGCAGTTTCTAAAACATACATTCTTTTCATTCACTCAGTCCACTTTATTTCCAGCTGTTGACATCTTGCATATCTTTTTTTTTAATTTTATTTATTATTAAAAAAAATTTTTTTAATGTTTATTTTTTTGGGGGGAGAGGGGCAGAGAGAGAGGGAGACACAGAATCCGAAGCAGGCTTCAGGCTCCAAGCTGTAAGCACAGAGCCTGACACAGGGTTTGGACTCATGAACCCCAAGATCATGACCTAAGCCAAAGTCGGATGCTTAACTAACTGAGGCACCCAGGTGCCCCTTA